AATGTTTCTTGAGGAATAAGAGCACATGCCCAGATCAGTGGGTGATGTTACATTAAAAAATGAGCCTGAAGGCTAACAAAGAGAAGGTGCCCATCATAGAGCCTTTTTCTCTGCCCAGTGACGTGGATGCATGGGAAGAATGTAAGAATTTAAAAGCAGAGGACTTGATCCTGCTAACAAATAAGTTGCAAAGTCAGTAAAGAGAGCTATCTATACAGACAAAACTAGTTCTTGAGTATGTTTAAGAAATCATTCTTTACCCTTTCACTTGTGCCTCTCAAAGAGTTACAACTAGAGGGAGACACTTCTCTCTTCTCACTCCCTCCTCATGATGGCAATGAATGCATAAATGAAAAGGCATTTTTAAAGCTCTGTGCTAAGGGCTGGGGATGGAAATGCAAAAGCAAAAAAATAGTGCCTGACCTCAAAGAACTTACATTCTAACAAGAAGAGACAATACATAAAGGAAAGTGGTGGCCCGAAAGGAATATTTTGGTTTTGAAAAGTACAGGCCTAGAGAGCAGAGCCATAAGAGAGTAGAATGCTACAGATTTTTCCAGATAAATAAAAGAATTGATTTGATAATAGATCCAGAATTAGGAGTGGGATAAAGGGTACATCTGAAAAGTGAAGACATACACAGAATAAAAATGAGATTTTAGAAGATAATTTACTATACACCAGGTAAATACAAATAATCTGTAGTTGCAATCATGTGATCAGAAAAAGCAAAACCAAAACTTTACAGCATAAAAAAAGCATAAACAAGGAAACTACATTTTGCTGAAAGGAGCTAAAGACCAAACTAATATTAATCGTAAGCTCATATGCTCCAACTGCTTCAGGATCTAAATTCATAAAGGAAAATCAAACTAAATTACAAGAAGATACAGATAGTAAAACTGTAATATTAGGTAACTTTTATTTATCTCTCAGTTTTGGACAAATCTAAATAATAAAAGGGAAATTGTAGAAATGAACAAATTTCTGGAGAAACAAAAGTTAAAGGACTTATGGCATCTTGTAAATGAGGCTGATAGAGTATACATATTTCTCAGCACCAGATATAACTTTTGCAAAAATTGATGATGTTACAGCACAGTGGTATTGCAAATAAACAGTATCCTTTGCAGACCTTAACACAATAAAAACAGTTATCAGTTCAAAGTACAAACAAAAGACATAGATTCAAATGGAGACTTAAGAACAAAATCCTAAGTAATGAGTTGCCAAAGAACAAATCACTGAAACAATTTGCAATTTTCTGAAAGAAAATTATAGTGATGAAGCAACATGCCAAAATGTCTGAGATGTAGCTCAAGCAATCCTCGAGGGGAAAAGTATATCACCAAAACATATAGTGACAAAATAGAAAGACAGAGGATTAATTAACTGAACTACATACTTTTTAAAATTAGAAAGCCAACAAACCCAAAATAAGCAGAGGAGATATTCAAAATTATAGGAAAAAAATTGAAAACCCTAGCAACTAAAAATACTATAGAAATGACAAACAAAACTAAAAGCTGGATCTTTGAAAAGACTAACAAAAATGATTAACCTTTAGTCAGCCTCATTAAAAAGAAGGCAGAAAATCAAATTAACAAAATAGCAAAGGACTGGGTGAAATCACAATAAAGCCAGAACTGTGAGACTCTACTATGCAGTTATATGCTTTTTAAAAAAATTAAAAATACAAAAGAAATATAAGAATACTTTCAAAAATGTGAAATGCCAAAACTAATTGAAAATCAAATAGAGACCTTAAATACTCCAATTTCAGAAAAGGAAATATAACTATCTGTAAAGAAACTATCAAAGGGGGAAAGGTCCTGATGGATTCACAAAAATTCTATCAAAATTTTAAATAAAAATTAGGACCAATGCTACCCAAATTATTCTCCAAAACTGAGGGGGAAAAAAGGATTCTAACAGACTCCTTTTGTGATACAAAAATAATCCTGATACCTAAACTAGGGGAGCATAAAGCACAGAAGAACTAGAGACTGATACCATTAATGAATACTGATTCAAAAAATGTTAATGAATTCTTGTTAGACTACAATAATTCATCCATGAAATCATTCATTATGACCAAGTATGCAAGGATGTTTCAACATTAGGAAAATAATCAATGCAATTAATCATGCTAAAAACAAAAACATTTAAATCCACATGTTATCTCAATACCCTTACCTTTGGGTACTCTGCCCAAAGGAATATAGATTTTGATCACTGAAACCTCACAGGTTATCCTGGAGTTTATAGGCTGGATTTCTTTTTTTTTCTTCCCTACTTATCTATTTCATTATTTTTGAGGAAAGAAAAAAATGGGACAATTGACTTTTTTGTCCCATGTAGTTTCATTTATGATTTCTTCAAATACAGCATTGGAGGTTGAGGCTTTGATAAAGCCCACTGAGATTCAAATGGAGCTGTTTGACCATGCCTTAAACCCAAATCACTCTGGCTCTCACTGATTGGCCAACAATAGGTCCCAGGCCAAGCTTCACTTGGTCATTGTTTGGGTTTTAATGGCTCCAAGTGAGTGTAAATAGCAATTGTTTCTGTTTTGACCAGAAACTCTGAAGATCTTTCCCTCCTACATTAATTTTTTTTTTTTACTAAGAATCCATTTTTTTTTTTACCACATTTCTTACCTAGCCTTAATCACTGAATGGGCATTGCCTCAGATATACTGAGACTTGGGAAAGACCTTAGCTTAAAAAGGCCAAGGTCTCCCATTATATCCCAGCCCATTTCCAGTCTTCCTAATCTATATCGCGCCATTGGACCCAGATGGCTCTGGAGTAGAGGGTGAGGCTGATGACTTTGCACAGCCTTGCCTCACTTAAATCCAATTCACTTGTAAGTCAAAACATCACCTCCCTGATGTCATCGGTCTTCTTGGAGAATGAAGGACAAACAACTGACAGCATCTGATAACACACAATTAACATTTCATGGGAACTATGAAACCAAGGTCAACATGATCCAGTTGAATCTAGCATCAAAGACACGAGTCACTCTCCTGGCTGCTTATGTTCCCTGCATGTGTGCCTCTCTACTTTTGACTTCTATATGAATTCTACTCTTCTAATCCCTTTGTATACTTATAGGATAGTGTAAGTCAAGTTATGGAGAATGTGCTTATTACCCTGTTACTTGAGGAAATGCCTTTGGTTTTAGCCAGTTATACTCTCTGGCTAACCATTGGAGGTAAATTCATTAACGAGGGCTCATGAGTTATAGTTTTAAGAGTATGGAACCAGAAAGTCCCTTGAAACTGGGGTAGTTGTTCCTTAGGGAACCCAATTTGCCAGTGAGTTGGGTAGGTATACCAGATGGTGAGCTACATATCTATAAAACAAGAAACATTTTACCCAATTCTATCATTTACACAGGGCAGCTAGATGGCTCAATGGATCGAGTTCTGGGCCTGGAGTCAGGAAGACCTTAATTCAAATCCAGCCTTGGATACTTACTAGCCATGTGACCCTAGGCAAGTCACTTAACCTGTTTACCTTAATCAACTGGAGTAGGAAATAGCAAACCACTCCAGTATCTTTACCAAGAAAACTCCACCGATGGTAGGATCCACAGGGTCACAAAGAGTCAGATATGACTGAACAACAACAACAAAAATCATGTACGCTGGTCAAAAATGAGAAAAAATCCTGAGTCTAAGCTTAGACAGAGGAGCCAATCATGGAATCACACTTGGCAATGTATGTGTGATGATTGACTTAGTCATTTTGCATACCACTCTAAAAGGTACACAAGGAAGTTGAATATTCCCTAGAGTACAGGACTATAATTCTTCTCTGGGCCTTCTGCACAAACCCTCCTATGATAATAGCTGTATTTTATATAGCATGTCAAGATTTACAAAGTTATTTATATACCTTACTTAAGACTCAAAATACCACTGTGAGAAAGTTATTATATATGTCATTTATTCCCATTTTACAGGTGAAGAATTTAAGATTTTAAAGAAGCTAAATGATTCACCCCGATCCCAAAGATTTAAGTACAAGAGGAGAAAGGAGAACTGGGGCCTACCCAGAGGTATAACTAGCATTTTGCCTTCAGGGAAAATTTTACAAAATGCAAGACCCAGTGATGGCTGCTCTGTAGGTTTGAAGTGAAGCTCACCTGGGCTGTAGTAGCTAGAGGGAAAAAAACACATTCTACCTCACAGCTTCCTATTTTTCCTAATTATTTTGTTAACCAGGTTCTAAGCACAGTTTTTCCGACATTGCTGAGGGTATGCAAGTGCTATGGGCAACCTCCAAATTCTAGCATCTGAAGCAAAGCACTGACCTAATTATATGTCCATTTAAACCAGGTCTAGCATTCTATGCCCATGCCATGCTGCATCTTTATTCTTCTTTCCTCAGATATCTCCTCATTTCCCACCTAGCTGCATTCATTTTTTTGGATTTGATCTAACTGCACTCATTTTGGATTTCTTTCTCCACCATGCCCCCATGCCAGGAACCTACCCTCTATCTCCCCTTTTCAGTTTTTTTTTGTGTGTAGTCTTTCATCACTAGACTATAAGCTCTTTAAGGACAGGCCTATCTTTTTCACATTTGTATCCCAGCACTTAGCACAGTGCCTGGCCCATAGTAGGTGCTTAATAAATGTTTATTGACTAACTGACTGATTCTTCTGTGGCCAGTGGATAATGAGAGTAGTGTGCACACGCTATCTTCTCCAGTTGTATGATGAAAACTTCTCCCACAGAAACCTGTGGAAGGATACCTTAATAAGTTATCATGAACCTTGTTTTCTGATACAAATGCCATAGATTCATACTGAAGTGAATATTTTCCACAATGCTTTATTTTTAATTCAAGTATAGTTTGAAATGAGTTTTGTAGGTTTGATTATTCTAAATTTTCTTTCTTAATAAGAGTAATCAATCTAAAGATATATCAGGATTTTCTGCTTGCCTAAATAAAAATATAACACTGAAGAAACAGTAAAAAACAAACCTTTGGTGAGCAAACCATTCTCCAGTGTATGTATCATTATTTACATAGTAATAAACTCCATGGCCATGCCTTTGGTCATCTGCCCAGTCTCCTAAAATTAACAATTCAAAAAACATGCCAGCATAAGCAATCCAATTTAGACCATCTTTGAATGTTTATAATTTACTATGGTATTTACACACACACACACACACACACACACACACATATACACAGGCGGAAGTACCCTCAGAAAGTGAAATAATGGTACTTTAAAAATGTTTTATTGATGCTTTTTTATTTTTACACCATAATCTATTCTTAATAAAACCCCATCCAAAAAATCTTCCTTTGCAATTGTAACTTGATTCTGGCCAGGGGGGTGGGTGGGTAGGGGAACCTTGAAGGAGGTACCTGACCAGTGCACTATGACCTTGACTCCTAAGCCTAACCCTCTCACCTTTAGGAAAAGAATGTTTAGGGAGAAGATGAAAGAAATTGGAGACAGAAGAGTTGAACAAGGAGAAAAAGAAGACATGTGAACACCGATACATGGAGAAGGACAGCTTCCAAGAGATAAGTAAGGCGCGGTGGATAGAGCTCTGGTCTTGGAGTCAGGAGGACCTGAGTTCAAATCCGGCCTCAGACACATAACACTTTACTGGCTGTGTGCCCCTGGGCAAGTCACTTAACCCCGTTGCCTAGCCAAAAAACAAAAGAGAGAGAGAGATAAGTAAGCCATGAGGACCTGTCAGAGGACCTGGACTGAACCTGCACTACAGCATAAGTCTCTTTTCCAATTAACTGGGTGTGCAAGCTTGGTGCCTTATATGCCTTTTAATAGATTTTTATTTGATATCTTGTTTCTACATTATCTAGATTTACTCCTGTATCCCATCTCCTCACCTTTTGCAGAAAGCAATCCTTTATGGAAGGAAAGAAGGAAGGAAGGAAGGAAGGAAGGAAGGAAGGAAGGAAGGAAGGAAGAAGGAAAGAAGGAAAGAAGGAAGGAGGAAGGAAAGAACTTTTAAAGGAAAAGAGAGGAAGAGGAGAAAGTAGTCCACAAAAACCAATAACTATTAGAAAATCTGGCATTATATGCAATGATCCACACCTGTAGGACACCCACCCCTGCAAAGAAGTGGGGCGGGGGGCAAAGGGATAGGAGGAAGTACCTTCTTATATCTCTTCTTTGGGGCCAACGTAGTACTTTAAAACTGTGCAACATTTATTTTTTGCTTCTTTGAAGTTGTTGTTCTTTCCATTTAAATTGTTGCAGTAACTTTGTACATTGTTTTCTTGGCCCTATTTACTTCATTTTGTATCAGTTCATGTAAGTTTTTTCTGTGCTTTCTGTATTAATCATATTCTTCGTTTTTTTTACAGCAGAATACTATTTCATTACATTCATATAATACAATTTATTTAATCATTCCGTAATCAGTGGGATTCTACCATTTTTGAGTTCTTTGCTACTACAAAAAGTATTACTATAAATATTTTGGTGTATATGGATTTTTTTCTTTTTTGTCAATAATCCCCATGCCTATTAGTGGAATCTCTAGGTCACAGAGTATGGACACTTTAGTGGCTTTATTTGCATACTATAATTCCTAATTGTTTTCCAGATTGGTCATACTGATTTACAGCTCTAGCACCAATGCATTAGTATGCCTGTCTTTCCCCAGCTCCTCCATCATTGACTAGTCCCATATTAGTGTGAGGTGAAAGTTCAAGGTTGTTTTGATTTACATTTCTCTTATTAGTAATTTGGGTCATCTTTTCATATGGTGGTTAATAGTTTGCAATTCTTCTTTTGAAAACTGTTCATATCCTTGGATCACTTATCTATTCAAGAATGGCTTTTGATATATGTTTCTGTTATATACATATCTTGGATACTAAACCCTTATCAGAGATATTTGATACCAAAAAAAAAAAATACTTATTTGTAACTTACAAGTTACTTTCCATTTAGATTTCATTTACCTAGCATAAAACTTTGTTAGCCATCAGAAATGTTAGGCAGTGAGTGTATTTTATTTAATGATAACAGAGCGAGGCTAAGAGAGAGTACAGCTCTTATCCTATCTTCGATTTGGACTGAATTAGATGCTTACAAGCAAATTTAGAACAAAGCAGCAAAGGGGATAGACCAGTATGATAGACAAACCTGGTAATGAATCCAGAATTCAGATACCTCTATAAATGCAATTTTAAACTGGCAAAAAAAAAAAAAAGTAAGCTTTGAAGGGGGTAAAGTTCAAGAATCTGTCTTTTCACTTCCCATGAACGTGGTGGTGGCCATTCTTTTTTTTTTTTTTGAAACAAAGAGTCAGTTTATTGATGAGAAGAGAACTTATGTAATAGGATGGACCCTTGGCATTTGCCATCAAGGATTGATATTTGCTGGGAAGAATATAACTGGGAAGCTCAGTTTTTTTTCTTTTCATCTCTCTGTTTTATTCCTATTTTTATTTTTTTTTTATTTTTAGTTTTTAACATTTACTTCACAAGATTTTGAATTCCAAATTTTTGCCCCTCCCCCCACCCCAAGATGGCATGCATTCTAAATACCCCTTCCCCTAGTCTGCCTTCCCTTCTATCTCTCCCCCCCTTCTCTTACCCCCTTCCCCTTCAATTTTCCTCTAGGGCAGGATGGATTTCTGTACCCCATTTCCTGTATTTCTTATTTTCAGTTGCATGTGAAAACACTTTCTTTTAAACATGTGTTTTTTAAACTTTGGGTTCCAAATTTTCTCCCTTCCTCCCTCCCCACCCACCCTCATTGCAAAGGCAAGCAACTCAATATTGGCTATACATGTGCAGTTATGCAAAACACTTCCATAGTAGACATGCTGTGAAAAACTAACTCTA